GTTATCGTGCTTCAGTTACATAATTATAAAAAATGTCTCAAATAGAAAATAAATATTTTTTAAACCATTGCTTTTTCAGATTCCTAAATGGAGCTATTGTCAAGGGGAATTCTTTTCTTGAATGGTGAGAATATATCTGATACTATTAAATAGTTAGAAACACCTTTATTATCAAATAACTTAACAAATTAAAAACCTCAACTCATTACTCTTAGACAAAGAGAAGAAGATTATAGAATGGATGGATGAACAAGAAAGTTCTCACTTAAGGAGAAAATAAATATTTTGATGAAGAAATTAAGAGATACAATTGAGCAAAATACATTATATAATTAGCACAAAAATAAAATCGTTAATTTTAAACTTAAAATAAAAAAAATTCAGTTACAAATCCAAAATAAAATTTAAAGTTAAATATATATTTTAGTCACTAATGTTTTACTGAGCTATACTCATTTTCGCGGTAAATATTAGAATTGATTGATGATAAATTTATAATGATGTAATACATAATTAATAAGTGAAATTTAGAGAAGGGAAATAGATCATGAACAAGAAAACTTGAAATTTGAACTAATTGATTAGAAATTTAGACGGGATTTTTCTTTCTTATTAGATGATATGTTTTCTCTCTTCTAAAATTTTTGGTACAACAAATTGGGAATATAGGGGTGAGGTTTGAACCTCCAACTCGAGGAGAAATTATGTTCATGTTGACCTATAAAACTGGTAATTGATAAGTCGATAAGTTGTATGTAAAATATCATTTCTAATATTCTTTTGATCATATATTATAAAAAATATTAATAACATAATATAATATAAAAGTGTAAGATTTAATTTTTTATAAGGTTGGATACGGGTCATATATAGAATTAGATTAAAAGCTACCCAACTTCTTTTGGTAAAGTTTCGGCCTAGTGCTCTTTTTTTTAATATTTTCTCTCCATTTGTTAAATATTTCCAATATCTCACAACAACAAACATAAGGATCTTTAGTATTTTTATATTTTTACTTTCAAATATATATATACACTAATTTGATTTTATATTATAATTATTTGTATACTGAATATTATCGGTATGCATAGACTAAATAAAAGGGGTCTTTTTATAACTATTATAAACCAATGCAAACAAGACAACATACCATTCATTCAAAAAGTATGTGAGAAACATACAAGAGGAGGAGGCTATATGAAAGCACTCCAATTAAGAGAGATGGTAGCAATAATATCACAATTGCAAAAGTAAGTCTATTTAGATGACCAGGATGAAAAGACCATTTTAATATCGTCTCAAAGATGAGATGATGATCTAGAGATTTCCGAGAAGAGGCGATAATTTCTTTCTGCCATATATGCCACACGATAGAGGTAATGACATTGCACCAAAGCACTATTCTGCTATTTGAAGGAGGAATATTAATACATTATGTTCATAACATCGATTCGGTAGCACCATGGAAATATATATTATATTAAATTAGTATAGGGATTAAATATAGATATTTAAATTAGTTTAGAGATTAAATAAAGATATTATAGCCAGCAGCTTAGCGGTAATTCGCATATACCTCGAACCAACAGTTGTGAGTTCGAATCCACTCCCCAACATATACTTGAATCTCTTCATTCAAAATTAATAATTCTACGATCACTCTAAATGAGACCCTAATCTCTTTTCTCTAAAACACGCCCAAATTTCTTTTCTTTTCTATGTCAGTGATGTATTCTGTCTCACGATGTATTTTTTCCATTTTCATTTTATATTTTTTTTAGCACGCATCTGTTTCCTTTGTTGAGAAATAAAAAGGGAGAAAAATGTAGGAATAAAATAAATAAAATATGAAACAAAGAAGTGAGATAGACCTTGAAATTTGAAAGTACAAAAAGAACAATAGTTAGAAGTTGGAAGGACTAATTTGAACAAAAATAGAAAATACAACATCAAAATAATATTTTAACCCATAAAAATAAAAGAAAGGGGAGAGAGAGAAGTGAAAGGAGGGAAAGTGGGATGAAAAAGTGTAAAAAAGAAATTAAAAAAGAAAATTAGAAAAATAACATTTGGGAAAAATAAACTCCCACTAGTAAACTCATATTTTAATATCACATCAAACGACATGTAAACTTAGTTGAAATAAATCATTAAATTAAACGTTTAAAAGAGCAGGAAATGAATGAAAGGAAACCAAACAATGGGTATTCTTCTTCCATTATTAAATTTGGGCATCACTACTTTTATCCTTCGAGTGTAAGCATTCCCATCATCGGTCTCCGATCTTCATTTTTAAGACATAAAATCAGTTGTTGAGAATTATTGAAAAATTTGAGGTGATACGAGTCGATGAAGGTCGACATGTTAGATCGTGCTCAAATTTGGTTCAATGACACTGGTTTAGTAGAACAGCAAAGAAAGGCAGATGTCGTTTTTTAGATGAAAAAGACCGGAGTTTTGGTCAAGTGTTCTCTAATGTCGCAGCTCTCTCATTGGTTGAGTGTTCATTTGAAAAAACAAAAAAAATCTGATTTTTTAAATTTTGTATCAAGAAAGTTGACTATGCAACAAATCATGATGCGGGCGTAGCAAAACAATGCTACAAAAAGAAATTTTGAGAAAAATTATGCTCTAGATCTCTCTTGCCCTCACAATCTCTCATTTAATGATCTCTCTAATCAGCGAGTCTCTCTCGTTTCCTCAGTCTTGCCACATGGAAGACAGAGGAAGGTCGGTGGGAGTACACATTCAAAATCGATCTCTATACTAAAGTCGAATTTAAACTAACTTTGAACATCGAAATCTTTGTTCTCTTATTGAGGTCTTCTCTAGCCAAGTGACTCCCAACCAATTTTTTCTCATTCCATCACACTCACTTCCTTAGTCTTCCATACATATGGATTTTTCGAATTGAGTATGTTCACTTCAAGTAATTATTATAAATAAAACTATATTTTATGCTTTAATTTTTTTAAGAACTTGTTTTTTTTAGTAAAACATGTGAGGGAGGAGACTCGAACTCAAAATCTCTTGATTGGAGATATATGCCAATTATCGTTGAGCTATGTTTGCTTTAGTTTAAGGATTTGTTAAGTTGAAATAAATTGATAGATTAAGAATAAACTATAAACTAAAAGAGTTTTAAATTATATTTTGGCAGTTAAATATACTATTTTGATGAATTTACTTTCAACCTTGATTTATATTGGTATCTATAATTTCGAAAGGTTTATTTTAGTCCATGTACTTTCAAAAAATTCGTTTTTGATCTTATACTCTTAAAAATCGATTATTTTGTATTTGAAAAATTCTAAACACAAATTATACACATAAATAGAAACCATTTATCATAAAGTTAAAAGGGTGAATGATGTGAATCTTGCATCTACACATGTTGCAATTAATATGGACACTAAGTATTTAATGCTATTTTAAGAGGTCATGAGTTCAAATTTTCTGTATTTTATTTATTTATGTTATATATATGAATACCCCACTTTGTGCTTAAAATTTTTTTATATTTTAATGTTTTTTTTTTTTTTTTGAGAAAATCTATATTTTAATGGGGCACTTGCAAATATGGCCAAAAAATTTAGTAAAATAAGCAAAATAGCAACCACACTTAGTTTTTTCAAATATAGCATTTTTTTTCCAAAAAAAATGGATGTCCAATTATAAAATTACAAATTTACCCTTTAATATATCCGATATATCTGTAATATATTTGACCTCTGACATATATCTCTGATATACCACTGATATAATAATGATATACAATTGATTTATTTATGATATAACCATGATATCTACTCAACTTCTAACATGTCTTATCACTGATATACGTATGATAATCATTGATTTACTACGCTGATACAACACATATATATGTGATATGTATCTAATTTACCATTGATATATAAATGATATACCATTGATATAACTATGATATCTACTGATATAACTTCTTATATGATTATATGATTTACCATTAATATAACATTGATATATACTTAATATGCTTCTAATTTACCACTTATATACCTCTGATGTAACCATCATATCTACTAATATAACTATGGTACATGTGTGTTGATATAATACTATTATGTCCAATATTTGTTTCAGACAAAAACAATGGTGCAAAATTTTTTATTTTTTATTTTTGAAATATAAAGTTATTATATAAAAGGTTTACGTGGACCATGCACGTCCAAAAAGTCAAGTTAAAATTTTGATATACTTTATAAATTTAAACGGTTGATATCCCTTATATTTAGTATATAATTAATATTAATATTGAATAAATAGTAGTGATATAGTAATCAACATTATTGATAATATTAGTATATTAATCAACAAATTGAAATGGTAAACTAGAATTTAAACAGTTGATATACCACTAAAAATTAAACATTTGATATATCTTATATTTAGTATATTAGTTGAAAATATATTTAGTATATCATAAATTATAATGACATCAGATATATATATTATATGTATAATACGTACATTTGATGTATATCAGTGATATATCTAATAATGTATATCATTGGTACATCTGATACTGTATATTAGAGGTACATCAAATGTATATCGGAAGTATATCAGAATTATATCGGATATACATTAGATATATATAGATTTGATGTATATCATATACAAATTTACATCATATGTATATCATATATAGATTTGATGTATGATATCATATATCATAAGGGTAAAATTAGAATAATAAAAATTCCGAAATAAAAATTTCAAATATTTTGCTATATTTAAAATTTCGAAAAGCTGGTGACATTTTTTTAAATATATAAAATATTTTTGCTACCCACTACAATTACCCTATTTTAATCCTACCCACAATCATTGTAAACGTATATGCCTAAATTTTTCTAAGTGACTTTTTTTTTTCCTCAAGTATGTTTGAGTTTGTAACTTTACAAGCCATGTGGGGTTTTGGGTTTTCTTCTTCAATTATTGAATTTTGTGGTCTCTCTACTTTTTTCCATCTACTGAAAGGATTCCCATTATCATGTTCTTATCTTCATTTTTCTCTGCGCGATCTCTTCACCACAGAGTTCATACTGTTACCAAGTTTACAATCAGGTAAAATTTTTCATCCCTTCGCCACTTCCATCTTTACAGTATTTTCTTATCCATTTCTTTTCCACTCTATTTTTCATCGGTTTCTTGTATATCTTGGTCTCATTGTCATTTCTATTGCAGTTGTTTGTTCCTGTGTTAGACTTCTACTGTGCAACAACTGCTTCGGTCTTCGCCAGAATTTCACTTCAGATTAATTTGTTTTGGATTTTTGGCTTTTAAATAATATTTTGTGGGTTTTCTCTTCCAAGATCAAGTTCGTGCCATGGAAATTCTTTCTTCAATCATTGGAAAATTTGTCGAATTAACTGTTGAGCCCATTGTACGTGAACTTTGTTATCCATGTATGATGAGCAGAAACATTGAAAAACTCAAAAACCAAGTTGAAATGCTGAAGGAAACTAGAGATTCAGTGCGACATATGGTCGATGCTGCAACAAGAAATGTAGAAGACATAAAACCTGCTGTTCTAAAATGGTTGGGGGAAGTCGATGACATCATTAAGAAATCCGAGGAGGTTGTCAATGCAAGCCAACAAGTTAGATTATGCTCGAATTTGGTCCAACGACACAAGTTAAGTAAAAAAGCAAAGAAAATGGCTGAAGAGCTTCGTGGGATGAAAGAAGAAGCTGGAAGTTTCAATAATGGAGTCTCCTATAATGCACATGTCCCTCTCGAGAATCCATGGACAAAAATACCAGATTTTCTGTACTTTGAATCAAGAAAGTGGACTATGAAACAAATCACGGATGCTCTCTCAGACAATAATGTCAACATGATTGGAGTGTATGGGATGGGGGGCGTTGGCAAAACGATGCTGGTAAAAGAAATTTCAAAAACAGTTATGGAAAAAAAATTGTTGGCTCAGGTGATAACATTAACGGTCAGTCAGACGCAAGATTTGAAAAACATTCAAGGACAAATAGCTAACACGTTAGATTTGAAGTTCGATCAAGAAACTGTATTGGGAAGAGCACTTAAACTACACAAGAGGTTGAAGATGGAAAACAATATCCTGATTGTATTTGATGATATTTGGGAGCATATTGATTTGGAAACAATAGGAATCCCACTTGTTGCAGATCACACAGGATGCAAGCTCTTATTTACCTGCAGGGACAAACATGTACTCTCTAATGAGATGTGCATTAATAAAATTTTTGAGATAGAAGTTCTAGGAGAAGACGAGTCATGAAATTTATTTAAGAAAATAGTTGGCGAAATTGTTGAAACGTGTGATTTGAAACCTATAGGGATTCAGATAGTGAAGGAATGTGCACATTTACCCATTGCTATTACTACTGTTGCTAAGGCCTTACGAAATAAACCTTCAACCCCCATTTGGAAAGATGCTTTAGATCAACTAAAAAATCCTGTGACGGTAAATATTAGAGAAATGGACAAGAAAGTGTATTCATCGCTGAAATTAAGTTACAACTACTTACAAAACAAAGAGGTCAAATTACTATTTTTGCTTTGTAGTATATTTCCAGAAGATTTTCTCATTAAGGTTGAAGACTTGCATGTATTCGCTGTGGGCATGGGTTTACTGCATGGTGTCGACACAGTGGCACAAGGACGATGTAGGGTAACAAAATTGGTTGATGATCTTATATCTTCTTTGCTTTTGCAATATGAAGGTGGGGACACTTACGTGAAAATGCATGATCTAGTTCGTGATGTAGCCATATTAATTGCATCGGATGATGATCAAATTCGTACATTGAACTACGTTAATAGATCGAAAGAATGGAAAGAAGAGAAAATATCAGGTAATCATACCGCAGTGTATTTAGATGTTAAAGGTTTGCATAGTCTTCCTCAGAAGTTAATGTTACCAAAAGTCCAATTATTAATGTTACGAGGAGCAGTGTTCGAGGAACGACACGAGTTGGCACCAACTTTTTTCGAAGAAATGAAAGAGGTCAAAGGTTTAGAATTGAATCGGATGAAAGTTTCTGAATCGCCACCATCGCTTTACTCCTTTGCAAATGTTCGATTATTACATTTGATTGATTGTGAATTAGGGAACATAGACATGATTGGTGAGTTAAAAAGACTTGAAATCCTCAGTTTTAAAGGATCTAACATCATCCAAATTCCTTTGGAGATAAGTCAACTAACTCAACTGAAAGTGTTTGATTTATCATCTTGTAATCGACTAGAAGTAATTCCACCAAATATTCTTTCAAGGTTGACAAAGCTAGAAGAGTTATATTTGGAAACTTTTGGCAGATGGGAAGGAGAAGAATTGAACAAAAAAAGAAAGAATGCTAGTCTATCTGAGCTCAAGTACTTGCCACACCTTTGTAGATTAAATTTATGGATTCAAGATGAAAAAATTATGCCAAAACAATTGTTTTCGACAGAGTTGAATTTAGAAAAGTTCAACATTGCTATCGGTATTGAATCTAGGATGGTTATGCACAAAGGGTTCTCTAGAACGTTGTATCTGAAGATGGAATCAGGAAGTTGTTTGGATGATTGGATAGAAATACTGCTAAAGAGGTGTGAAGAGCTGCAATTAGTAGGATCAATTGGTGCAAGAGTTCTAACCTTTGAGTTAGTTGAAAATGAGTGTTCACATTTGAAGCATCTCCACCTTTTTAAAAATCGAGAATTTCAACATTTAATCCACCAACAGAACAAGCCTTTACGAAAAACTTTATCCAATTTGGAGGACCTACAACTTCGCTGTTTGGAGAATTTGGAAAGTATAATTGATGGGCATGGGCATGTCACAGAACTTGCTTTCAACAAGTTGAGGAGTGTAGATGTGGAGTATTGTCATAAAATGGGAACTCTGTTTTACAACTGCATGGTGGATGACATTTTGAATCTTGAAGACATTTTTATTTATGGGTGTGAGATGTTGGAATATTTGATCACTGTGACGATGGAAAGCAAAGAGACAACCGCCACTATTGAGTTTCCGCACTTGAAATCTTTAGAGCTACGTTTCGTACAACGGGTTCGAGGTTTCTGCTCCAAAATGGATCAAATTGGCAATGAGAGTTCATTCTTCAGTGAAGAGGTAACTTCCTTAAATTTCAATATCATATTCACAATACACCTCACTTTTTCTTCTTACTGTTGTTTCTTCTCTTATAAGGGGCTCTGCCTCTGCATTTTTTTTTTTTTAAATTTTGGTACTTATTGTTTTTCCAAGTTTCAATTTGGTTCCAATGATTATAAAAATTTTAATTTTTTATCTAACAGTTAGTTGGTTTCACTTAAAAAAAGTATTATATAGTTGTATTAGAATTTAGAGTTGAGTAAAAAATATAATATAAAAGAATATACTAATTTTTTGAGTGGGTGAAACATAATTTATAGACCATATATGAGATTTAACCAAATCCTAAGGTTAAATTAGAATTAAAGATCAAATTAAAACTTCTAAAACTATAAAGACTAAATAGAAACTATATTGACTAATTGAGTTAGAAAAAAATTGAAACTATATCCCTAATCATAGGGACCAAAATTAGAATTTAACCTTAAATTTCTTCACTTACATTTTTTACCTTATTGTTGATGCAGTTAATTTTTAAAATTGTAATTATGAAAATTAATTTTCTTTTTATTTATGTTTGATTTCATCTCCAAAATAGTGATGGGTAAATAATATTGGGTGTTGTGATGAAACTAATAAAGATAAAATATTTTTAGTATTTTCGCAAGGGAACTATTCTTTTGACGATTTTTCAATTTGTTCCGGTAATTTTAAATGACTATTAAGTTTATGTTCTTCATAACATGCTTTTATATGAGTACAATAAACAACGATGACAGTGATGGTTGTCGTAGCTAAATTGTCAAATTATATATGTAAATTGTAGGTATTGATTCCTAATTTGAGGGATTTGACAATTACAAGGGCGGACAATTTGAAGATGATATGGCACAACGTACTCGTTCCTAATTCATTTTCCAAACTCGAAACGGTACAAATTGAGTCATGCAATAATATTGAAAAAGTTTTCCCTCCAAATATAATGAGCGTACTATCCTGCCTTAAATCCTTAACCATTCGGGATTGTAAATTATTGAAATGTATATTTGAAGTGCAAGAGGCCAATACGAGAGAAAAAAGTATTGATTTGCTCTCAAATTTGAGGGATTTGATATTATATAATTTGCCAAGCCTAGAGTATGTATGGAGCAAGGATTCTTGTGAGCTATTGATTTTTGAAAATATAAAAGTCTTGTCCATTGAAGAATGTCACAAGCTTCAAAGAGCATATCCAATCAAATTTCTTAAGCAACAAGAATACCTACGGATAGATTTCAACCAATTGAAAGAGACTCTTGAGAAGGCAAAACTATCAGTACATTCAAATCAATTTCCGACTTTCCAGGTAATTATAATTTTTTGCAACATCATATTGAATATTTTGTTAATTAAATTTTTGCCTCTCATCTGCTTAGAAACAGATTTCAAGTTTGATAGTTTTATTTTTCTAAATGGTCAGGCTGGGACTACACAATTACAAGATGGTTTGGAATTGTTTTCGAAGCTGAAATCTCTGGAACTATATGGTTCTTTTGAGTACAACTCAACTCATTTGCCAATAGAAATTGTACAAGTACTACACAATCTTGAAAGCAGGAAGGATGTTTATTAAAGAAATATTCCCAAATGAGAGATTGATGAACAATACAAGATTTGAGCCTTTGGAATTGGTTCTATCCAAATTGCCCAAGCTTATGCATTTCTGGAAGGATGAGCTCGAGAGCAGTTCATCACTTCGAAAGTTGCATCGCTTAAGCATATCAGGATGTGGAATATTGGATATGTTAGTGCCGGCGTCAATGTCTTTTGCAAACTTGTCCATGCTTGAGGTGAATAAATGTCATAGACTGACTCATTTGCTAAATTCTTCGGTGGCAAGAACCTTGGTGCATCTTGAATTGTTGTATTTAGGAGAATGCAAAAGGATGACGACTGTAATTGCAAGAGAAGCTGTTGAAGAAGGAAATGATGAAATTGTTTTTGACAAATTACAAACTTTAGAACTTGGGGATTTGTCCAAATTGACCAGCTTTCATTCTGGGAAATGCACCATCAGATTTCCATGCTTGAGAATAGTAAATATTAAGAGTTGTCCTGAAATGAAAGCCTTTTCTCCTGGAATCACAAGCACGCCTAACTTACAAGTTGGAGATATTAACATTGAAGGTTCTTTTAGCCGGCATGGATCACGTTCAAATGGGCATGTAAAGACAGAAGTTGTCGAAGATATCAATGGTATTATCCGACAAGTTTGGGAGGACGATTATGACGATGAGATTCAATATCTGTTTACGGAAATTAAAGGTTAGTACCTCTTCCACTATTTCCATGGATAATAAAGTGATTTTCAATTATGACTTCCATCAAAACTGTTGATTTTTTGTTGTTGCACTAATTAATATGTGTCGGTGTGATTGTTTGTGAACTTATTTATATGCAGAATTTGGAGGAACACCGATATCTGTGCTGAAAAATAGTAATTTGTAATTTTCAAATATGCTAGAAACTTTTAGAGTTATCCACACGAATAGTTATCTATTGATTTATCTAGAAGTTTGTAAATAAATAGGTAAACAAAATACTCTAGAACCATCTAGCTTTTTTACTAGGTTTTAAGGAATTCTCCTTTGGATCATAAGAATAAATTAATATGTATTTAGAGAACTCGTTGCTAGAATTCACCTGAGTCCTCTCAAACTCCTATAAATGGAGGTGTTATCTCTCCATACTTGTCTCTTCATTCTAAATAATCCCCTGCTTTCTTTCATTGCCTCCAACAATTTGATCATCCTGTTGAGGAATAAGAATGATGTGAATCATTGTCCATTAATATTATGATTTCATCCATAACGAAGGGTTAGACACTTGGAAACCTCATTTTTCTGACATGTTAATTTTGGTATATTTGCATCTTTCGAGTTATATTAGTCGTTGTCCATTGCATGTTTAGCGACGATAATGGATATTTAATGAGATTGTTGTTAAACTACATAATCTGCAGGTTTTAGTTCTTAATTGGAGAAAATGGATGATTAGAAAAACAGACTTTCTTTGGAAGATTATAAGCCACTATTATGAGATTGATCTCACGTTCCTTCGCCAAACTCAAAAAGGTATATGATTATTGTACAACCTTTTTTCTTCAAATATGTTAAAATCTTAAACATGGCAAATTTGTAATTTGTTACAAGGAATTCGTACATGGTATGGAAAAGCTGAAGGCATGCATGGAGCAAAGATTGCAATGGATTGAAGGAGATTTTTTTGGGGATAGAAAGGCCAGAAGAGTCCTCAAAAGGTAATTTCTACTGATCAACATCAACTTTACAGTATATTTTTATTTTTTTTATAAATAAATTGTTTGAAATTTATAGTATATTATTAATAAATTATTTGTCAGTATGATTTCTAAAGAATTATCTTTGAGATTTGTTTATATAATTTCTTGAAAAGGTTAAGGCTCTATAGGGTAGTACTTGAAATTAATGGGAAATTCAACTTTGTAGTGACAATTATTGGAGACTTGCCCATACTCACAAGCTTTCATTCTTTGAACTACAGGATTAGATTTTCATGTTTTGATTGTTTAGTTATTCATATTGTCCTAAAATATATATATATTTTTTTTACTCTCAAGGTTTGAAAACAGAGAAAATTATATTTATTATCTTGGTCAACAAGTTTGGGAGAATGATTATGATTCAAGTAATTATAGTTTGTTTATACAATAGATAAGTTGGCTAATGTTAACTAATATTACTAATGACATGAAAACCAAAAAGATTACAGTTTTTTAATATATTTTTACAAATTCATGTGTTTTTGTTTGTTTGGCAGAAGATGAAGGACAACCAATTGCAATGTCCATAACATCCAGATCAAAAATTAAATGGATCATTCATCATTTTAAGAATTTATACACAATAGAGGTGAGTCACACTTGAAATCCCCTGTATATGTGTTGAGATGTGTACGTCTTAATTTTTCTGTCAATTTGAAGGGAAAATGGCAAAAGCTGATGGATGGTTGAAAAATTGGGGGGCTATAATATTGCAGAATTGGGGAAGATGTTGGATAATTCATTTGGGGTGATTGAAGATTTACTCTTATTAATTTCTTGTTCTACCTATCATCTCATCAACCGCATTCCAATACTCATTGCAATGCGGAAAACTTGGACTTGGACCATTTTATGATTCATTACCCTTTGGCTTTCACTTCCACTATTTGGCATCTTCTATTTCTATTTCAATCCTTCCCCATTGAAGATTTTTCTAGACAAGTGCACCCGAGGATTTTCTTATGGTATAATAATGCCTTTGGATATATTCTTTGAACCATGGTGGGAGAGGAACAACCGTCTTTTTTGGATGTCTCCAGATAAACCAGCCATCTTTGGGGAGACATTAAAAACGGCAGCTTCTTTGTGGTCATGAAAATCACGTTATTTTTATAATTATGATATCTCAATCATTTACCTTTATTGGAGAGCTTTAATCTAGCTTCCTCTCTTTTGTGGATATACCTTCTTTTGTCTTTTTTATCGGAAAAAAAAAAGTGCATTCCAATATTAAGTTCAAGATGGCAGATGTATACCTATATTGTTAATTAAAATGGAACAACCAGAAGTTATCTGTAAATTCTGGGATGTTTTGTACTATCATGGACAAAACCAAAGAGTTTTTATTACATATATATGTACATTTCGGGCAAGAACATTAGTGCAACTTGAAATTTTGGTTTTGGAAGCATTCTCATGGTGTAAACTATGTAGATATTGAGAAAATTATCCTGAAATGAAGGATAAAGCAAACCTTATTTTGCTTTTGCTTTACTGATGATATGTATTATGTGTATTGATGTGATTTTGGTTGTGAATGTGTTGTTAATGCAGAATTTGGAGGAAAATTAACCAACCTGATCATATATATCCTTCTTCACATGTATTCAGGAATTCAAATATTCGTTGAACTCATTCTGCAGAAGCTTTGTAGTTTGTTGATACAACACACCACTCTCTCTTTTAGTATATTTGATCTCTCACAATTTGCTAAACATTTCCAATATCTCATCCCACACTTGGGGGCATTTCTAATACATAAACGAACCAGGGCAGTTTCCAAATTAGTTTTTTTTTTTTTAATTGCTCTCCTTCACTTTTTCTTGTTGGACAGGAAGATCTTCCCATCACGTAAAGTTCAAAACTCACGGAGAAGCGAATTGAAAAACTGGCATCAAATTCCTAGAACTTATGTTCACTTCATAAGTTTATCAACCTTACAAAAGCTAACGTATATATAACTCGTTCCTTCAAATTTCAATTTTATGTCTAATGACTAATAGATCCTTATTATCAATTTCATCGTTCTAATATTGCTTACGTGTCCTGTTATCTTTATTATTTGAAGATTGACATGACAGAGATAAATATTAAATGACACGGTCGTGGAGAACCTCCAAATTTAATAATTGAGGGAGAAAAATAAGTAGGAGGAGAAATATATATATATATATATATATTTTTTTTAATACAAGGAGAAAGTTTGTTTATACAAACCCAATCACGTCTTTTATTTATTTTATTTTTATATTTCATTCTCATCTTTTCATATATATATATACATATTCATAAGCTCAGCTTTTCATTTATCATTTCTTCGCCAAAATGGGTGGGCACCTCCCTTATTCTTTTTCTTTCTTCATTATTATTATTATTTTATGTTTAAAAAATCAATAATAATAAGTTATCAAATATTTAATAGTGCGGATGACCAAATTTGTCGAGGAGCCTAGTATTTTCCTATTTTAATCCATATTTGTTCTCGTGCTTTATTTACATAAATATAAAAAGAATGTTTCAAGTAGAAAAGAAATATTTTTTAAACCATTGCTTTTAAAGATTCCTAAATGGAGTTATTGTTAAGGTGAAAATTTTTCTTAAATGGTGAGAATAGCTCTGATATTATTAAATAGTTAGAATCACCATTTATTTATCAAATAACTTCACAAATTCAAAACTTCAACTTATTACTCTTCGACAAACAGAAGAAGATTATTGAAGGGATGGATGGACAAGAAAGTTCTCACTTAAAGAGAAATGATATTTTGATCAAGAAATTAAGAGATACAATCGAACAAAACCCATTATAGAATTAGCACAAAAGTAAAATTGTTAATTTTAAACCTAAAATAAAAAAATCAGTTACTAATTCAGAACAAAATTCAAAGCTAAATATATTTTATAGTCCAGTTTGAGAATTTGTTCAAGTTAATCCTTATCGATTAAAAAGTTTCATTTTAATAATTTATTTTTCAATACTTTTCAATTTAGTCCTTCGGTAAATGTTAGAATTGACTGTTGATAAACTTATAATGACATAATATTTAATGAATAAGTGGAAATTTAGAGAAGAAAAACGGTCATCAACCAGAAAACTTGAAATTTCAACTAATTGATTAGAAATTTAGATGAGGAAGTAGAAACTTTTCTTTCTTATTAGATTATATGTTTTGAACTCTTCTAAATTTTTACCGATTCACTAAGTATTATGTCATATAAGTTTAATATGAGTCCATTTTAACATTTACCGATAATGAAGGGTCAAATTTAAAAGTATTAAAACAAAGGAAAAATTTAAACTTTTTAAATAATAAGGACTAAAATTAAAAAAAATTATATATATCGAAACACTAAAGACTAAAGCCTAAAATTTGGCAAAATTTAACAATAGCAGGTTAAGCCATGAATATAATGCAAAAAATGGAGCTTTTAATTAGTTATTTGAAAAGAAAAAGAAAAAGAAGTTCGGAGATAGTTTTGCCTCATTGAAGAACACACTTGTTTTGTCTATTTTTGGATCGAATACCCTTTTTGAATTTGTTGGATTCCGATATCATATTAATCTCAAAATCAATTTTCAAAAAAATGAGGAATTTCCTCTGGAAAGGTTCTCAGCAACACTCCTCATCTCACCTTATAAGATTTCTTTTGACATTAGGCGGTATCGCAATCATTAAATATCGAGGATAATCGATATTTAATGATTGCGATACCGAACAGGTTAATTCCCATTTCGATTGTTAAATGTTGGGATATAATGGAGACAAAATAATTATTAAAAGTTATTTGGCCAAAATCACACCTAAAGCCCATAGTTTGTCTTTGTTTTCATTAGGTTTAATGACCTAATATTAAAACACATGATGTTGGTTTTATGCTACTTCAGCCGTGAGTGATAGAAACCAAAAAAATAAGAAGGTGGCGGCAGTGGTGTGTTGTTGGCAGAGAAGAGAAAGGAGAACAAGGGTTTTGTAGTGCATTGTCGGTAGCCCGTTTTCCCAAGGTTAGTGAGGTTTTTCATTCTGTATTCCTAAGTAGCTATTGTCGTAGTGCTTAGAAGCTAGGTGACCATTGTTGTGGCATCTAGAGAGAGCTTTGTAGAGCGTTTGTGAGGTCCATTGTATTTATCCCAAAATCATAGTACAACCCGTTGTTGCGGAAGACTGGACGTAGCCCATAGTTAGGGTGAACCAGTATAAATTCTCTGTGTCGTTTTCTGTGCTTTTCCCTATATTTGCATATTGTGGTTGTGTTTAGATATTTTCTGTGGAAGGGGAAATTATACAGGATAGTTAATTTCCCAACAAGTGGTATCAGAGCGTAGGTTGCAGAGTCATGAGAGACAAATATCAAGCACATCATTACTATGAAGGGGTTCTGAAGTTCAGTGGAGAGAATTTCAGTTTTTGGAAGATGCAAGTAAAGGATCTTCTTACGTGCAAGAAGATAC